TGTGTGTGTGTGTGTGTGTGTGTGTGTGTGTGTGTGTGTGTGTGTGTGTGTACACAATTCTGTAGGTTTTCTACTGGATCTCTTAAGTTACATCAACAACACTGTAGACTTTGGGCTAATTACCTTTTGTTATTTCTTGCTCTCATTAACTGGCCTACCTCCTTTTCCAGGTCATTTCCTGACTTTTATGTGACTTCTTGCCTGCAAGAACATATGTTACAACATAGTAACATCCACCATTCGTCTTTACATTGTCTTTTGTGTAATCTTCAGTTTTATTCTGAAATTGTACTATTCTGTGATTCTTAGCCTTGTCATCAGCAGAAAAATAGCGAAGTATCTATGGTTTTATCATCATAGAGAAATCTCAGTATGGGAACCCTCTCCATCAGCACAGATCACAATCTGTCTACCTGTGACTTCGATAATTGCCTGAGGTACTTAAGAGATTAAGTGACCTGTTCATAATTACAGAGCTAGCATGTGTAAAAAACTGAACTCAGTCTTCCCTGACAGTAAGCCACATGTTATGTTCTTTATAAAAGAGGAAGAGGCTAGGAAGTTCATGTTATATCAGTGTGGGAGAAAAAAAGAAATATTCAATAAGATGTTTTGATTTGCATGAAGGAAGCAAGGAAGAATGAGTCTAGGGAATAGATGTGGCCCAGATTTTGAAAGACCTTGAATGCCAGGCAGTGGAGTGGCATTTGTATTTGTCACAAGGCTAATAGAGAACTATTAGAAGGGTTTAAGGAGAGGGGAAGGACAATAAAAATTGTTTCATCTTAGTTTAGCAAAAGAGCACTAGAGTGGGAATCAAAAGATCTAAGTTTCAGTCCTGATTTTGCCATCTGCTAACTTTGCAACCTGTGACAAATTGCTTAAATTTATTTCTATATCTGGAAAATGAGAGTAATAGTGCTTTGCTTGCCTATTTCTTAGAGTTACCATAAAGAAAAATTCTTTGTAAACCTTAAAGTGCTAGAGGAAAAGGAGCTATTAATTTTAGTAAGTTAAATCTGGTGGTATATAGACAGATTGGAATAGCATGGAGAGAAAACCTGGGCAAGGAGTTGAACAAATTAGGAGGAGTTACACTACCCCAAGTATGAAATAAGTATTAGAATTAGGATGATGGCAACAGGAATGGAAATTCAGTGGTTTAAAAGGTTACTGTGAATTGTAAGAATTTGGTGACTTTTTTGCATCATGTATGAAAGTACTTTAGGTCAGTGGTTGTATTCTTAGGGGAAATTACTTTTATGTTTTCATTTGTTATAATGGTGAAAAAATGAATTTTCCAGGATAGTTAGTTCCATATCACAGTTATAATAGTGTTTCTCCCAAGATGGGAATCATCAAGATGGTGGTTTGTCTCAAATATTAGAGTGTTTTGTTTTTAAGCTGGGAAACTTAAATTATCTAGTCTAACGTTTTCATTTTATAGGTGAGGAATCTGAAGTTCAAGAAGAATAAAATAACTTCTCCAAAAAAATAACTTTATTTATGCTTCAGTTGTACTTATTTAATTAAGATGTTGAATTAGAATTTTATATAACCAGTCAGATACAGTGTGTACTTTTTGTAAAATTAAGCCAGGAGATACAATGAGAATTCCAGATGTTTCCATCGTAGTGAACCTAATTCAAATTAATCAACCTCTTATTAAGCACCAGCTATTTGTGAGGCAGTGTCCTAGGCTCTGGGGACACAGAAATGAAATTAGCCCTGACTTGTTTTAGTCTTGCTACTCTCTGGCATTTAAAAACATTGGTAACTTGGCTGTCACATTTTTGACCTTACTGACCTCATACTCTCTGGTCCAGTCAGTTAAACCTTTTTATTGCTCCTCATAGAGGACATTGTGCTGTCTCTACCTCTTAAAATCCTGTGTTAATTTTAGAAGTCATCACAAGCTGCACTTTCTGTGTGAAGCCTTTCCTATTTTCTCTTTTACCCTTTCGCCTCTAAATTACCTTGGCTTGTGTGTTGGGGGGTGGTGTATATTTTGTATATACCTACATTTATACATGTGGTGTCTACCCTAGAATGTAAGCTCTTGGGAGACTAAGGGCTGTTTCTCTTTGCTTGGTACCCAGGGCAAAATAGGCATTTAACAAATATTGTTAAGTCATCATTTAAACTTTTCCATTTCTTCTTTTGTGATCTCTAGTGGGCTTTCTCTTCTTCCCCATCCTCTTGACTTCTCTGTGATGTTTGGTACTGTTTACCATTACCTTTTCCTATATGTTTTCTATAGGTTTTTTGTGACCTTAATATCTTTTGGTTCTTCTGATCTGTTTGACCATTCATTCGCAATTTCCTTCCCAAGATGTTCATCTATACACCCTCTGCATGTGTGTACTCCAAGGTTCTGTCCTGGGCTTTCTGTCTGTATTGGGGGGGAAGGCGATCTTATCAGTTCTCTCTGGGCATGATTGCCAGATCCTACACCCAGCACTCTTTTATAGCAAACTGTCTCTAGTCCCTCGTCACCAACTGTTTGCACAGGTCCAAAATTGAACAAATATTTCAAATCCATCCCTCTGCCTAACTTTGCTATTTTTATTGAGTATCTTACCATCTTTCTAAATATCCAAGTTCACAACTTTGGTCATTCTCATGCCTTACTTTATATGCCCAGTTGCAAACTTGTGTTGATTGTACCTCCACGGCAACTCTCTCATCCATTCCTTTCTCTTCAGTCACATCCACTACCCTAATTCAGGCCTTCATCACCTGTCATCAGGGCTGTTGTAACTGCTTTCTTATTGATCTGATCTCTTCACTTTCCTCTTGCTTTTCACATGATCATATCAGTATTCATACCATACCATATCATATCAGTTAGACACAGGTCTAACTGTGTCTAAGCCTCCTCAAGAAGCTTCAGTGACTCCCTATTGCCTCAAGCACAAAATATAAAAACTCTTTCTTTTTGATATATAAGGCTGAAATTTGACTCGTTTGTTTTTTGACTGCTGCCTATACTCTAGTTCTAGGACTCTGTGCACGGGGGTTTTAAATTACCATAAGGACTTTATTGCAACACAGTTTGGCTTTTGAAAGTTTCTAGTGTAGGTGCAAAATATGGTATTACAGAAATATGCCAAGGTATTAGCTTCACTAATTAAGGAATTCACACATCACTACTCTTATCTCCTGTGTAGTCATAGTTGTCTTCAAATGGGTGGAGATTTTGGGTTTTTTATTTTTGAGGATAGGATTTTTTTTTTTTAGATTTGTGATTTCTCAGTTTTACTGTAGTAAGGTATTTTCAAAACGTAAGATTCTGTGATTTTGATTTTTGTTAATAAATTTCCTATTGACAGCTAGCTAAACATCTTAGTTTATGTTGAGAAGAATTGAGTAAGAAGAGCCAAAAGAGCAGGCCGGGGGCAGAGAGCCTGATTGGCCCAAGGAAGAATAGCATAACAATATTCTTGGCCAAGTAGAGTGATGACACTGGATACTCTGCTCAACTTTGCCTAGGCGCAGTCCTGGAAGTAAATCTTAGCGGTCTTTTAGTAGTTCAACTGTATGTGTGCAAAAGTAAATACAAGTAAATTCTGGCAAAATAGAAGAGTGGCGATGGATATCTAAGCTCAGACCCCCACTCCCATGTTAGCAAAACAGGCTAAAAACAGCGAGAAGAGAAGGATGAAAAGACACTTACAAGATAGTCACTAAATAAGAAAAGCAGCAGAGGAGGATTGTGCTACCACATCAGTACTCCTCTTTACACTCCCTGGGCCCAGCTCCACTGAACACTGTCATGTGTATTGTAGTTACCAGCTTTGCGGTAGATCAACCCCACCACCAAGTCTTATCAGCCACTTCATCTTTGCTTTTTAGTTTTCTCTTCTTCCTCCCTCTCTAGCACATTCTCTTCCCCTGAATTCCCTTGGTAGGTTGATTATTAAATTAAGCAAACATCTCTAACTTTTAATCTTAGAGACTGTAATGCTGCTACCCTGAAATGTTAAGTGATTTGTTTAGGGTCATGTAATCCATTGTAGGTCAGAGGTATAACTTAACCCTGGATATTCCTGAATCTAAGGCTGGCTTTACTCATTCATTATACAACGAATTCACTCCTTTGAGGTAAGCTAATATGGGGAAAAACCTGCACAGACTCTCCTGTGAAGTAAAAGATTCCAGGATAAAATTCCAAAATAAGATAATAATTCTCTAATAGCTTCAGCTGAAACACCAGAAAAGAGAATAGAATTGCATACAAGTACCCAGAGAATGGTTGGAATCCCTGTGGAAATGATAAGGAGTAAAATTAGATTTCTTAATTTAAAAAACTCCAAAAAGACTTGACGGCTTAGAACTGAAGCTGGAATTTAACAGCATTCAACATAATGGGATAAAAAGAATGAAGGAAATAATTAAAAAGTCTCACGATGCAATGAGAAATATTACAGGAAAATTAGAACTACAAAATTGAAAGAACGTGCTTTTATCAAAAAATAAAATTCTTGAAAAGCAGACAGA